CGCACGAAACATGTTTTCGATGGACGAGAGTGAAAATGGAACGCACACGCTATTTGTTGTTTGTTTAAATCACAGTCTGTTCTTCTTCTCTGTCTTCCGGTTGTTGCCTATTTTGAATGACGAATACACACTACCGCCGCCTGCTGGTAAGGAGAGTTATTGCCACTCACGCATGCGCAGTTCATACGTGCTCGGCTGAAGTCTTTGCGGTGTGTTCCAGTGCGACACATGGCCAAGACGCAGGAGAACACGGCGACGCCACAGTCGGTGTCGGCGTCGGCGAGTTCTCTGGTGACTGCCTGGTGTGAACCAGAGAACTCGCCGACACCGACGCCTGGTGTGACTGCCTGAGTTCAGCCTTAAGGCCCAGACACACCAGGCAGTCACCAGAGAACTCGCCGACACCGACGCCGACTGTTGCGTCGCCGTGTTCTCCTGCGTCTTGGCCATGTGTCGCACTGGAACACGTCATTCAAAATAGGCAACAACCGGAAGACAGAGAAGAAGAACAGACTGTGATTTAAACAAACAACAAATAGCGTGTGCGTTCCATTTTCACTCTTGTCCATCGAAAACATGTTTCGTGAGGTACTGGAGCTATCAGCCATTGGAGTGTTGCTTGTGCAAGACATTCTCAAGCAACAGTCTCTCAAGAGCTTATATATACAGTCTATGCTCAAGAGGCGGAAGCGAAGAATTAGGAGAAACCGCACTAAATGGGTGAAATCATGGCTACTGCAGCGAGAAGCTCGTGGGGCTTTCCCGAACCTGTGTCGAGAGCTGGAGTTAAATGAAATGCCAGATTTCAGATATTTTCCTCAAGCTTTGGTAAAGTGTATTCTTTGAATGCAGATTTGGGTTCTGCCCGCTCTGTATTAATGTCATGTGGATTTTCCTGTCATGTTGACAGGTTATCATCATGTAGGCGTTGATAAAAGCTCATTCTAATGTTGTGTTATGTGTGTATGAAGGTACGAAATAAAGTTTTGCATTGCCTATCCTGCTATTTGTGTTTATTCTTTTAATCACACAGCGATAAGAAACAATAACAATGTGCCTAACTGTCAGTTGCAGCCCAAGCATGTGAGCACATAAAGTGCAGACATACTATAAAATCACAGTTAAAAGACCTGCATCTGATGATCGCAGTGTTCTGGCGGGTGTGTAGTTTATTGAGTCAGCAATGTAGTAATGTATGTAATGTCATAATGGCCACTTCTTGCTAAATTTACATTTCCATGTGATGCTTTTATCCGAGGCGACTCACAATAGGTAAATGAACAGCGGTAGACAGTATCTCATGTTTCTTGGCCCGATAGCTTGTGTCTGACACACGGCCGATTCAACATGTTGAGTCGGCCGTGTGTCGACCGTGAAAGGCCAAATAAGGCGTGTCACGGCCGAGGGTTTGGGACACACCAAATTGACTTTGGGCTACAGGGCACGCTTCGTCGTCAGACAACCGAAGACGGCCGATTTCGGCCTGGTGTGTCAGGGCCTTTACCCTCATAACCATGGGGGGGAAAAAACGCTGTTGAAATGTAGCTGGCAGTGTTGTGCGACGTCCATGTTAATATCCATGTGCTACATTCCAGCCGTTCTCTCGAAGATATATGTCTTCTTCCTATCTGTTCCGCCAAGTGCAATGCTGCAGAATTAGGGACTCAAATAAAGAAGGTCAATCCATTCATACTTAATTAAGGAGGGCGATGTACCAGGAATAGTCAATCTATTTAACATGAAAACTATTATACATGAATGTATACAGTTTAATGCTGAAATGTCTTAGTAAAGGAATGAAAATGGCCATATGAGAGGATTCGTTACGGCCCGTCCACACAGCAGCGTTAAAAAAATCTTCCAACGCTTCTGCCCATTCACTTTGAATGGGGTGACGTCACTTTGCCTCACTTTTCGCCGAACTGCATTGTGGGAAGCAGAGCGGAGATTTTCAGGATTTTCAGGATTCAAAAGTTGAGCAATGTTCAACTTTTGAAGCTTAGGTGGAAGCGTCAGTCAATCAAATCCCGTTTATGCAAATCTGACAGTTCAAGCGCTAGCCAATCAAACCGCGTGTATGCTGGGAGAGACATACCGAGGTCATTTCCTCATATTCCAAAAAATGGAGGAGAAATTAATTATAGCGGTAGGGAATCACCCGGTGCTTTATGACCAGTCCCTATTTACCTACCGGGATACAAACCGGAGGAGCCAGGCATGGAGGGTTGCATGTGCAAGACATTCTCAAGCAACAGTCTCTCAAGAGCTTATATATACAGTCTATGCTCAAGAGGCGGAAGCGAAGAATTAGGAGAAACCGCACTAAATGGGTGAAATCATGGATACTGCAGCGAGAAGCTCATGGGGCTTTCCCGAACCTGTGTCGAGAGCTGGAGTTAAATGAAATGCCAGATTTCAGATATTTTCCTCAAGCTTTGGTAAAGTGTATTCTTTGAATGCAGATTTGGGTTCTGCCCGCTCTGTATTAATGTCATGTGGATTTTCCTGTCATGTTGACAGGTTATCATCATGTAGGCGTTGATAAAAGCTCATTCTAATGTTGTGTTATGTGTGTATGAAGGTACGAAATAAAGTTTTGCATTGCCTATCCTGCTATTTGTGTTTATTCTTTTAATCACACAGCGATAAGAAACAATAACAATGTGCCTACATAACTGTCAGTTGCAGCCCTAGCATTAGTATTGGTTATAGTCAAATAATGCAGATATATTATATATATATATATATATATATATTGTAATCCCAACAGGCCACCTTGTTTATGGTTAGATTCAGTTTTAGTAGAATATAAAATACATGAATGATGAAATGAGCACATAAAGTGCAGACATACTATAAAATCACAGTTAAAAGACCTGCATCTGATGATCGCAGTGTTCTGGCGGGTGTGTAGTTTATTGAGTCAGCAATGTAGTAATGTATGTAATGTAATAATGGCCACTTCTTGCTAAATTTACATTTCCATGTGATGCTTTTATCCGAGGCGACTCACAATAGGTAAATGAACAGCAGTAGACAGTATTTCATGTACTTAGACACTGTACTTAAGGACAATGTTGAGGTACTTGAGACTAATCCTGCAACTTTATACTGACAAATAAACCGATGAGATAAAAAACCGGACTTGACCAAACAAATCACGGAGCTCTCAGCAGAGGACAGCCGGGGACGCTCCCGCCGATATCAGAGATGTCCCTGCTATGTGTGGGAGGTAAGAGAGGACATTTAAGGGCTATGTTTGATGTATTTAAGTATCACCTGCTGGGGTTTAGCTGCTGTCCTGTGCCTTCTTAAATCATTTGTTTACGTCCCTCACTTCCGTTTCGCTTCTCATTTGCTAGCTGAACAGCTGATCAGAGTGGTTTCTTGGCCCGATAGCTTGTGTCCGACACACGGCCGATTCAACATGTTGAATCGGCCGTGTGTTGACCGTGAAAGGCCAAATAAGGCGTGTCACGGCCGAGGGTTCGGGACACACCAAATTGACTTTGGGCGACAGGGCACGCTTCGTCGTCAGACAACCGAAGACGGCCGATTTCGGCCTGGTGTGTCAGGGCCTTTAAGGTAATTGTTGCGTGAGACATTATATTCAGCAGAAGTCTCCACGTTTGCAGTCAACCAAAGTAGGTTGTAAGTATGCTAACGGACAGAAAAAACACACGACCACATCGCTCAGAGTTTGGCCTGGAGTACGGACCGTTCTGTATCTGCGCATGCTCATTAGCATCACCACGTTTCTTTCACTCAGGCACATTCTGATGATGTCATACACATGAACTGAAACATGACTTTGTTCTTATACAAATATGCTTAACAGTAATCATGGACACCTTTACAATAACCTTATGACCTTCAGGACAAAAATAATGAGAAACAGAATAACAACAACAATAAGGAATTTTGTTATTCATTTTATCTTCAAATATGGGCTTGGATCCTATACATCAACAAGGTTCTCCCAAAGCATGTCATGATTGTAGTCTAAGATGCCTTTAGACATGGACGATAAAAAACACATGTATACTGTGAACATAAAACATGTGTGCCGAGCTCTGTGTCCTCTCATGAAAAAGCGTGTGGCTTTATGTGCCAAAAAACTCCTCTTCTCATTCATATTCATTTAGCTCAGAGGGTGTTACCTTGATGGTGTCACACACATGCAGGTGCAGTTTACTTTTAAACCAGGGTGGCTTTGAACAGTTTTTAAGTAGATAGAAACTATGTTTGCGTGTGTTTTTGACGCACTTAAACCTCAGAAATCGTTTTAATTCTGATATTTGCATGTCACCTGTTTTACCTTTAATGTTGCCTCTCAGTTGAAGGTTAGGAATGTGTATGTGTTTATTAAATAGCTGTTCACGTTCACAAAAACGCAGGTCAGATTACATCTTCGAGTATCCAGCAGAAGGTTCAGTCTAATTTGAACCCAGATTATAGCACACTGAAACTATCTCGTAATGACAGCAAATCTTTTGCACCAAAGGCTTCACTGTGTGGCCACTGCTTTCTCCCAAACATCAGTTTGGACAGCTCAATTATTGCACAAAATGAGGTCAGTGAGAGTATGTCGAGGGGTTTATGCAAGGGTTAGGGCTCCGAACTGCAGAGCAGGATGGGAGGACACTTATGAACGCCTCACATCGCTCCCTTGTGGAGGTGATGGGTTTTCTCTCTGTACACTGAACCAGGGACAGATATAACGGGTTGAGTGCTGAGGTGCTTGCCATTCCGATTCTTACCAGAGAGGATGTTGGAGCTTTCAATTTCTGCAGCACTTTTTCTCGTCACATTTTAATTTAAGTGGCATTTTTTGTTTTTAAAGTGAATATTGACTGTGTTTGTATTTCTTCACAGCCTGCTAATTCTTTGGATTTTGGAGAATTACCTATAGCCAGTCAATTGTAAACTCACAGATTTTTTTACTCTATTATTGCTATCTACAGTAGTAAATCCACATTGAAGATTTTCTGAGCTTTAAGGTTACTTTTCTTTTGCCAGAGTGTGTGGAATATTTCAGTCTTCAGTTTCTAGAAAGGATGGGAGATTGATTTACAAATCCTTGGTAATCCTTGATGAATATGTGTTAAGACTCATCAAACCTCACCCTGCGTTTTAACACCTGAGGACGCAAGGAACACTTTTCTACTTAGACCCCAAGTGACTGTTTAAGTTATTGCATGAGTGCAAACCCCTGACGCATCTACAGAGGACAAGACTGCTACAATGGAGAGTATTTCAAATGAAAGTGACTTTTGGCAAGTTAACGATTCCTGGAGGAACTCAAGTATCGTTAACGGGACCGGTTTGTTGAATAAGACGAACCCTCTGAAGCGGAATGAAGAGGTGGCGAAGGTGGAGGTGACTGTGCTCGCCCTGGTGCTGTTTCTGGCGCTGGCGGGGAACCTGTGCGTCCTGCTGGCCATCCACACTACCAAACACAGCCAGTCCCGCATGTATTACTTCATGAAGCACCTGAGCATCGCCGATCTAGTTGTGGCGATATTTCAAGTTCTCCCTCAACTTATCTGGGACATTACATTTCGGTTCTATGGACCGGACGTTTTGTGCAGGTTAGTGAAATACCTACAGGTCGTTGGGATGTTCGCGTCCACTTACATGTTAGTTTTGATGTCCGTAGACAGGTGTTTGGCAATTTGCCAGCCTCTCCGTTCTTTGCACAGGAGAAAAGACCGTTTTTATGTCATTGTTTCCTGGGTCATAAGCTTGATCTTCAGTATCCCGCAGATGTTCATTTTCTCCCTGATCGAGGTTGGCTCGGCTGGATCCGGAGTGTATGACTGCTGGGGCGACTTCGTAAAGCCTTGGGGTGCCAAAGCTTACATCACATGGATCAGCCTCACCATATATATCATCCCGGTGGCAATACTGAGCATTTGCTACGGGTTAATAAGCTTCAAAATATGGCAAAACTTTAAACTGAAAACCAGGCGCGAGCAGTGTATAAGCCTGACGCCCAAAGCCTCCAAATGCAACACACTGGCCCGCGTGAGCAGCGTTAAGCTCATCTCCAAGGCGAAGATAACCACCGTGAAAATGACTTTTGTGATCGTTTTGGCTTATATCGTCTGCTGGACACCCTTTTTCTCTGTTCAGATGTGGTCTGCGTGGGATCCAGCTGCGCCCCGTGAGGGTAGGTTGATTTTGAGTGTGTGCCATGCTGCGAGTTATTACGCATTTACAATGATTAAAACCCTAACACAGTATTCATATGTTCAACCCTTTTGCACATTTTCCTGGCGATATTGCCAATTGGTAATGAATGGATATCCGTGAGGCATATCAATATTGCTGTGCGCAACAGAGCTCTTTACGCACGAGGATACCAACGCTTGCGTATCCATGAAACAAACATAGAACACCAAACCCAATCTTTGAGATGTGTTTATTTTGCTTTCCTCATTCATATTAATAAAGCACTATGGTTTAATGGCTGACTCACGGAGAGCCTGGTTCTGCCGTTTTAGTGTCAGGGTAAATAACGCAGCCAAACCATAAAAGTGAAATACATTTTCTACTACTTAACATGTCAGATTTTATAGCAAAGGATTTGGATTTTGTTTAAATAAGGCATTTTAAAGTTTGTAAATGTCAGGATTTTTAATCAAAAACACATCCTTATCCCACAGTTCTTATTATACAGTCCCTGTCCCCTCACCACCAACATTTGAAACAGATCATTAGAACACGGGGTCATTTTACATCAGAAATGCATAGCAGGAGCAACATGTTTTATATGTCATAATAAATAATAATTCTCATGATAAAAACAATTGGGTAGGGCCTTTAAAGTGCAAAAATCAGTATGCATTACTTGACGAGTTTCCTTTGACGCTCCTCGACCTGCAGAGACCGACTGAAGGCTAATCATTGATCAAATTATTGTGCGCCTACACGCGCCAAAGAGCTCTGTGCCTGCAAGGCACGTTGGAGTGTGTCGTTGACATTTAACCACAATAGGTCACTTAGCAGCCATGTATATGGTCCCTACATTTATCGACAGGCTGGCACATGGCCACACCCATTTACCAAAAGAAGATTTAATATGCCAATAATCACAAGTTATTTGGACTCTGCCTCTTTCTCCTTCTATATTTCCATTACATTTCAATATAACTAAATAAAAGGCGCCATTAAAGTAAAAGACTTGTCAAAGTGTTTAATATTACATGTGTTTTCATTTGTCTGTATGATCTAAGGGGATTTCTGGGCAGTACAGCTTTTAATATGAGATGTCTGCATGTCCTCAAAGACATTACAAACCTTGTATTTTCCAAGACAAAACATTTAAAAAGAGAAACATGTTCTACAAAGACAGACTTAAATAGGCCTACATGTAGGGAATAGGAAGTTTCAGGATGAGTGAAGAGTAAATAGATGTTTGTGTTTCAGGCCTCTGGTCTTTTCTTTGCCTCTGTGGGTTTGTGTTTAAGGCTCCAGCTGAATGGTTGTGTCGCTGTCATCCTCATCAAGTGACATTGTTCATTTGAGCTCTTTACACTCTGGGGCTAAACAGTTGCTCTTAGTTGTCACTCAGTTCTCCAACACTGAGGTAAATTGCTATAAATGGCTTTGTTGCTAAACCTCTCAGTGATATTTACAGTGCTGGAAAAAATAGCAGCAAAGGTGCTCTGTCCCTTGAATGGAAAATAAAGTGATGAATTCATTTTCTGTTGCAGAGCATGGCTCAGTGCAGGGCGGAGGCTGATGTCTGATGGCTGTCGTCCACGTGAACACTTCTTCAGAAAGGCTAGAATTGGCAGTGACACGTTGCCAGTGTTTGTGTAAAAAAGATAGGCGGCAGTGTCTCCTGTGTGTGTGCAGATAGAGTGGCCATTAGGTGAGCCCAGACTGCAAAGCTTTGAATCCCTCGCTAAGGGAAGACCCTGTACCCTGCAAACGTGTTTCAAACATTCACTAATGTTAAAAGGAAACAGTATCAGCATCAGGTTAAGTAAGATGTTGTTGTTGCAGTAAATTGCCGTTAATGTAGTCATTAAGGTTGTTTGAATGTGTTTTGAATTTGAATGGGGCATCTGGAAACAGTTGTAGTGAAATATTAGCAGCCAGTGAGGAGCGTAAACAGTAAACTCATTATTAATGTGTAATCTTTGCTAAGTCAACCTGCAGTGATATAGCAAATATTTAAATAGCACCTCAAACAAAGATTATGATAATGCTTAGGTCATTCACTTATAATCCTCCACCATGGAACATATCCATAGCATGTTGTTTGCACATTGTGCGAAGCAAAAACATAATTGGATATCTAAAGTTAAATTAATTTTCATGGTGCAGAAAAGTACATTATTTCAGCATGTTTGTGAGTTATTGGCAGCATTATACAAATAATTAGAATAGTTTGCTCTGAGATATACTTAATAAAGACATCTTTTTATTTTCACCATCAAACAAGCTGACATTTCAATATAAGTGCAAAATTGCTTCTTAAAGGTTGCTGTGTGTGTTTGAAAGGCAACAGAAAAAGGATGTGTAGGAGCAGTTTATGTACTTATATGCAGACTACCACACTTTCTCCACACTGTTCCCCATTTACCAAAGTAATCATGTGATCATTGATTTCGTAAACCCTGGTACAGTCAACAACACTTTTGTTCAAATGTATAGTTTGACATTTATTAAAATGTGCTTTTTCAGATACTTAGATAAGAAGCTGACTTGCTCTGTCATAACATATTTCTCCTTAATTGGCCCAGAAACAGTCCATCACGTAGTTCCACATAAAATGGGAAATACTACATTTTACACTCTAATTTTTGTACATATAAAAAAATATTTTAAATGCTTTTATCAGTAAAATATTTGTTTACCTTTGCACAGGGCCTAGATAGCTTTTCCCAAGCTACGCTAAATGATTTCTTGTGGTAGCTTCATTTTTACTTTACAGATGTCCCAGTGGCATCTTGTATATAATCTCATTTGTACTACTTTAACCACAATTTGATCAGCTTTGTAGCACACACAAGTTTGAAACTCAAATACAATTTCCCATTGAGACAATAAGTGCATGTTTTAAATGATTGAACAAAGAGCCAAATTGCTTTGTCAAAGTTCCAACAAAACTTCTGTTTTACTGTGAAAGAGCCAGTACTGTCACAGAAGGGACATTTCCATTTTTAGCAACCCACTCATCAATATGATTTTTGGAAATGTCATTGTCCCATCCTTCCAATCTTTTTGACGTCAGTAGCGCCTGTTATTTTTACATTGACCGACAGATTATCTTGAGGACAAAAACACCTGAAGGTTTTGCTCTGACTCAGACACAAACACAACCTCCCAAAAATTGTATCGACGTGAACATCTACCCCCCGCTGAGCCTGGTGCCCTCGGTTGCTGACTCAGACTCACGTATTGATCTGTGTTAAGTACTTAATGGACACAAAGCCCAGTGTTCAATGTCCAAGTGTAAATGTCAGTTTGTATACACAGTTTTGTCTTTGCTAGCAGCAAGAAAAGCAAGGCAGGGTCTTAGTTACATAAAGCCCTCTGAAAGCAATTTTACTCATAAATATCACTTGATGTTTGAATGGAAATGTGATTACTGCACTGCATTTACCATCAGGGAACAAGAATTACCACTAAGTGTCCTTGTTAATGACTTGCTGAAGTGTCTTTAGGGGCTGCTCAGTATCAGCTCTGACAGTAAGACAGATGTACCACCCAGGGGAAGATAATTCTGCCTTTTCACTTGCTGTGCGAATCATCACTCTCGTGAAAGACACAGAATTAATTCAGTAAAGTCTTTGTCTCGATAGTTCTTTCTATTATTCAAATTGGATCCCTGCTTTGCTCTCATCCACCCCGATAAGAAGTCTTGATAATCAGCAGTTTCCAATGAAGCATGGTTCCTCCTCTCTCTCAGCAGCATAGTCTGTAATAGAGCAGGTTAACCCATGGCTCACAGGTTACATATGTCTAATAGCAGCTGCTAAAACACCTTTTTTAGCTTGCCATTTTGTAGAATGTTTCATTCATTTGGATTTTATTGCTCAGGTTAAAATATATATTTAGTATATCTAATACATTTTACTGCCATTTTCATACATAAACCCATGACAAAATAGCTGAAGGGTATTTATATCATCTGCACTGAGTTAAACTCGTAGTCTCATAAATCCATCCCCTAATGGCTGATGATAAATTCTTATTAATCATGCATCTGACTTTCGTGCCCTTACAGAGATAATTTACACTGAGACATTTTGTTGGAGCTCAGGGACATTAAACCGTTGTCTTTAGCGACAACATGAGAATAGCAGGAGCACAGATGGATTACCAATCAGTAAGAAGAGGCTAAATACAGAATACGAGCCAAATACATGGATGTGGTGTGATCAACATTTCCGTCTCTCGCAGTCTAACCTTGAAAGTGTTTTTGAAGGAATTTGCTTTGTTTTCGAAATGCATTGCTTTCTGGCTTGATTGAACATATTTCCATTGACATCATCTTGTGTTTATTTCTCACGCTTGAGCTGAAAGTATTATGACACTCCTATGCCTTCTCAATGTCTGATTCCAAAGACTGAGAACTGGTTTTACATTGGCAGATTACGGTATTCATGTTAGCATGAGCTAATGTCAGCAAGCTAAAATGCTGGGCAACATGTGACCTGACATTTTTTTCTAGATTAAAAGCAGTACATTAATTAAGATTTGTATGATTCATCCTAAAGGTGGGCATAGATTTCTGTACCTTAGTTCAAACCAAACCACTCAATAGTTGTCAAGGCTCAGGTGAATGCCACCGTTATTGAAATTCAATCCCTGGGGACCATGGGTTTATGTTTCAAAACAATTCACATAGCAGTTAATATATTGCAATCTGGAAAATAGTATTACACTGATCAACCAACAATGCCTTCTCTACAGCCATGGATCAAAAAGCATCACAAGTAAAACTCAATGCTAGCCACTAACACCTTTTTTTCTTTCACAGAGTAAATTAAATTTGTCAGTAACTTGTCTCTCCCTAATCTCCTGCAGCCATGCCCTTCATCATCTCCATGCTTCTGGCCAGCCTCAACAGCTGCTGTAACCCCTGGATCTACATGTGCTTCGCCGGGCATCTGTTCCAGGATCTCAGGCAGAACTTCCTGTGCTGTTCCACACGCTACCTCAAGTCCTCCCAGCGTGACTTTGACTGCAGTCACAAGAGCAACTCCTCCACCTTTGTCATTAAAAGCACCAGCAGCCAGAGGAGCATCACACAGACATCCTCCACATAAGCCCGTTTTCCCTTCTCTCTCTAGCCTTCCTCTCAAACACCTGCGTCATATCTAGCAGTTCAACTCCTTCAGATACACCTCGCAAGTTCAAGCCCTGAAGGAAAAAACAAACGAAAAAGATCTTAATCGTTTTATTAACAGTACTTCAGAAGTGGAATTGTGAGATAGAAATATGTACAGAAAATGGGTAATGGTGTGGTATTTCTTGTTCATAAAGACGAATAAGATAATCACAGACCAAGCTGAGCAATCACTTGACTTTTGTTTTTATATTATTCTTGTTTGAGATGTGTGTACAGTGAAGAGAAAGTAAAGGCAAAGAGAATATTTTGTAAGCACTGTAAACATTATTGATTCAGTTGCAAAGCTTGTGGATCCTGCTGTCTGTGTTATGGTGAAATTGACTATCTATTCTAAATATTGTGAACTACTTTGTAACATTTACAGTGGACTGCATACATCTATGCTTACTTACTGTACTTGATATGTTGTTAGTTGTGAAATGTCATGTCTTTCCCTGGTAAAAAGAAAAGAAAAACCGCTTGAAAAATAAATAAAGAGCGAAAGCAGCACAAATGCACACACAGCTTTATTATTTATACCTTGCTGATGATCCTTAGGAGCACCTACGGCCTCTTGAAAGCCTTGGCAAGGTTGCTGGAATTGTACTAGAGGGATGTTTGTTGACACAGAATCAATAACGTCACTGTGTTTCTGCACAGTTTTGGCAGCACATTGAAACTTCCTGTTTAGCTTCAGCTCAAAATGCATTATTGGGTTGAGATCGGGAGCACGTGCACACCAGGGGAGTGAACTAAAGTAACACCTTGTTTTGAACACATTTTGGGTCAACAATCAACGGTGCAATATCCCGCAGGAAGCGCCAATAAACGTAAACTGTGGCCATGAGCTCCCTATCGCATTCTCTGTTGAAAAGCTCATTTAGCATGAGGCTGTTTTTTGTCAGTTTGTCATATATTAATGTAAAAGTTTCAAATGTAAGAGCCATCCAGGATAAGATCCATTTCCAGCACATTGATTATCCCTGTCAATAGTTAGAAATGACCAGATAAAAGCTAACTTTGTCAATAAAAACAATCCAACTCTATATCTCTGAAGTAAATCATGTTTATACAGGTTAGCTGGCGGGTATTTCACTGCATTACACTGTATCGTTGCTTTGATTTTATAATTGCATTGTCTACGTTTTAGAGCTTATCAATAAACTAAAATAGAAATTATTTTAAAAAAAATTAAGTAATATTTAGGGGGGGGGGGGGGTTATCCTAAGAATGTGACTTTCCCTAAGATAATGAAGCACAAGAGGAGAGTCTTGTTTCAGGAGAAATTCTGTAAAGAACATTAATCATCCATCTAAATATTGTGTATAGTTACATATTTTAAACCATCAATATGGTATTATAATGATCATGTATACATTACTGCATTATTAATATTATATTATATTAATTAGTAAACATGTTTTCATTTTAATGTAATAGTTTGATAATAGTAGTATAACTAATAACTGAATTGGTCATTTATTCTCCATTTACCGATTATTTATGATTGTTATTATAAACAGTTACTTATACTAAAGACCTAACAGAGTTTACCTTTGCTTTGAACTTCATTACCAAATATATTTATTTTCATTTTTAAATCTCCCACAATGTGTGGAGGACCATTTTTATTAACAGTATGTTTGTAATTGCTCATGTTTAATTAATCATTTCCAAAATAGGCCAAAATATACATTTAAATTGTAATTGTGGAGAATGTGTTTTTTTCTTGGCTGCATTTTTAGTCTGCATATTGACTTTCTCTGTATTGGCCAATAAATCACTGTTGCTTCTTGTTGACACAATCCTTCATCAGACTTGCTTTAACACGGTGTGATGGCTGTGCACATATTATCTCTAGCAGTGAATTTCCAGATGCAGTAAAGGACCAGGATGTGTTGGCCAGAAGAACACGAACAAAGAAGGGTGTGGTGACACCAGAGAGACTCTGTGAAAGAGACACAACAGCAGCCTCTAGTGGTCACAGCTCCCAGGTCACTGTCAAAAAACAATCACTGAAACGCAGTTAAGATGGTTGGTGAATCTTAAAAATGTATTTCTCCAGCCTCTCACATTGACCTGAAATAACACACATAATATACTTTCAAGCAAACGGTGAACCAGTGATGCAATACACTTATTATAAGGACAGTTTCATCAATTGTGAAGTAGATAAGTTCCAGCCCATGTATAATTAACCTTTCTCAACTAGAGGTGCACAATAGCAGCAAAGGCCTTATACTTTATACATAATTAATAAAACACTGTTGAAAAATACAATTCCCTCCTTACTTTACTCCACCAGTAGTTAATTGCATACTTGTTAACAGACGTGACTGAAATGTGGAGCAGTTAAATATTCCACTAATCTCACGCTTCGGTAAAGGACGTAGTTTATCTGCATGGTTGGTTCAACATATTTCTTACATTAAACAAGAAAGTTAGTTTCTGTGGAGTCATCACACATGACAAAATAATCTTTCTGTTAGAGCTCTTTAAATAAGGTCATTATACCAAATCCAATTACATTAATATAGAGTTAAACTTTACCAGGCACATACAGCATCAATACAATATTTAATAATGGCAAAATGTAATGCATACATGGAGCATTGTCCACAGGTGGAGCAATGTTGGGGGGTTTATATCATCTGTTGAATGTCTTTGGCTTTTTGTGACACAAATACATGATTACAGACAGATCCTGGTCATGGCAGGCAGTCCTCTCCTCCCTCAGTGAGACGCACTGAGCCCTGCAGGAGTGCCAGAGCTGTCACAGAACCACGCTGCCTGCTGCAGCTGTCACTGGGCTTCTGGTGGCAATAAACAAGGCATATCAGGACCCAGCTTGAGGATGGGTGGGTGGGGAACGGCATGTTATGAAGGAAGGAGGAGGAGTATGAGGGACTGAGACGCCTGGACTGAACTTCTGGTGTATAAAAAGATACCGCACTTCATCCGATCATACTATAAACACTACAGTGTGAGTTTTTAGACTTCTTTGCGCACTGCAACGCGCACACTGCTGAAGACCTTGCCCAGGGCTTCAAAGAAGGGATCACAGAAGGTCTGGATGCAGAGGGAGTAGATGCGGCTGATGCACTGTGACTCGATCAGGCAGCTCTTGATGCAGGGAACCACGGCCCAGATGTGGCAGAAGGAGATGCAAGCGAACAGGAAGCCCCACAGAAGAGCAACAGGGATGCCAAAGACAGCAGACAGGATGCGGTAGCACCAGTACTTGGACACAGTAAAGGTGGTGTAGCTGAGTTTCCAAACCCCATCCAGGCTGTGTGTCCCGTCAGGCTCTGCAATGACATCCTCAAAGTCCACCTAAAAGGGACATTTAAAAAGGGGCTTTCATTACGACACATCCCTGAGTGCACACCACTTTTTCCTCTCCCTTTAAACAGAGCTCTTTGGGCTCTGAATATCTGAAGTGCAAAGATAGACGTGTGAAAGCTGCAGAGTGTTAGGGTCAAATTTATGCAGAAAAAACAATTATGTGTCGAAAAATTCCCTAAATGTCATGGCAAAGTTATGGAGTGGCTTTTAACACTGATCACAATCACTTCTAAAAGCTCTCTTCCAACCTACTTCTTAGTAACTGAAGTTCACCTCATGTAAAATGCATGAGAGCAACTGTACAATCGTCTAATCTGTTTTCAGTGTGTGTCACCTTCCCCTTTAGAAAAGCTTTCCAAGATTAGACTCATATATGAAATGCAAATCAACCTAATCATGACAGACAGACACACAGTTCTAAAACCTTTTGTTTTCTTTCAGAGCTCTGGAGTCTGGATACCATCGGTTGTGCGTTTCCTGTAGATAGCCGCCCGAGATCATCCTCTGAATAAATGGCTGAACATGCACTGTTTTATATTTTCTCAGTCAGCTCTGGCCTCGTTCAGCTCTTAGAAGAATTACTGGAGTTACATTCAGCATAAGAACAGTCAGTGTCCTTTGGAAACAATAAATGGACACCCTAAGCTTGCAAATGTCCAGAAAGGTTCCTGACTAATGAGGTTGAAGGTTTCAATTAGAATTACTTTATTTGAAAATGTACGCAGAAAATGACTGCGTGAATAAAACGTGTAAATGCTAAAGACCAGACTATTAGCAGTAAGTTTAAAACACTTTCCAGCTCAAAACAGACATGCAAATCAGTTCAAACTAAGTAATGCAGATACTGAACATATACTCTGCTAATAACGTGTAATTAACCATCTTCATTGACCATAAACCCCTTGCAGTCATAACAAATAATGACATTTGAGTTTTTTTTCTTAGTGATTTTTTTTTCTTGCGATAACAGGGCAACGATCACAGGATAAACAGTAGTCAAAACGTAATGAATCACAGGCACAGTGTATCAGTTTCACACACTTCTACCCCATTCCCAAAATAAACTTGAATGGGTTCTGCCCAGGCAACAGGAAAAGCTCTTGATCTATTTAGGGATTTTCCAGATAGTATAGTAATCTTTTCTCCTGTCTTTGTCTCTACTTCATTAATTTGATCTCCTCAGATAACAGGTTATGTTCCTAATCTTCTCTGTGACAGGGTGGTGTCTCCATGCTGCACAAACCTTCACCACGTCTTCATTGATCTGCTTGGGGTCTCTGTTGATCAGATCAATCTCCTTGGTGTGGCTGTCCTTCACAATCTTTTCCTCGTTGGTGTTGTACTGGTACTGATCCGCCATGGTGGGGCCGGAGAAGGTGAGAGTAAACCTTCCTGGATCAAACTGCACAGAGCCTCGGTTCACGTCTGCACCCCTGTATCACCACTGTGAGTGACGCTCCCTCTGGCATGCCAGTTGACAGCTGCTGAGGACGCCCTGGCAAAAATGGAGGCTTGACCCCCGCCCTGCATACACACAGGCCCCCACACACAGACAGTGGAAACACACACACGGTAATGCACACACATAGAAAAGGCATGCCTTAAAGGAGCACCCAGGGTTGTGTCATATTTCACATAGGGCTGTGGGGCTCACTGGGAAGGGTTTACACAGTGGCACGAACTTCCACCACAGAGTGAGGCAGTGAGCACAAACACACCCTGCTGCTTGGGCTTCGCTTAGGACACAGTTTTACATCCTAATACTGAAGCTATTTTGAAAAGGAAAACGTTTTTACGTGTTTCAAACTACATTCCACAACAAAAGAGGGATCAAAAGTGTACTACTTAACACAAGTGTGAGGATAATAGTACTAAATGTTGTACTATCATTTGTCATTCAGAAGAAAAAATGTGATTCACATTTATTGGCACTTTGCTGAAGTTTTATGTATCAATTCAACACCTTCATCATGTGTGAAACTGTACGTCAGGTGGTGCGGTGGTTAGTAGATGCCACATTGTTGACATTGTGCCAGTTTGAAAAACTCTACTGTACCTCCTCTGTCACTGTAACCGTAGAGTTGACACTTCATAGAGTAAAAATACTGCCACACCGAGTATGTAAATATCAGTTTTCTGATGGTTTTGTTTAGGATAAATGCGTGTAATGCATACCTTATATTTACAGAGGCAAACGCAATGACCCCTCACATGTTCATATAACATTTTTTGCTTTTTATACATTTCATAGTCTATGCACTAGAGAGTTCTCAGAAGGTGTGTCCTGAGTCTCCTATGACGTACAATTCCGATTTAAGGTAGGGCTAAAAACGTAAAATCCAACAGTCCCTAAAATAAACTCTGATTCAGTCTTGCTTAAGCTGTGCAGTTGTTGCTATCACTCATACAGAATGTAGCTTCCTATATTAGCAGGTTGCATAAACAAACAAACTCATACAGCATGGTGCTGCCAAAAAGAGGGGGAAGAGGAGGAGGCTCCTTTGAAAACTGCTAAAAGGTCTCACAGCAACCTTAGCTCTCCCTAGTTGCTATCTCAATCAGTGGGGTGTAAGAACAGGACAGGAAGCGTGACTTCGGAGCATGGATTGCTATTTCTTCTCCGGGTTCCCAGGTGGCAGAGACAGGGACGAGGAAGGAGGGGTGGAATGGGATCTGAGTGCATGTGATCGAGAGCCAACCCAATTAGAGGAGTATTCTTGGCGTGGCAATGGAGAGAGTTGAGTCCAGTTAGGCATGGAGGTAGA